AAATCGCGATTCGTACCTAGGTTGATTAGCATTCTTTTGTTTGACGCTGTCTCAAATAGTTTAACTGAAATATAAAACTTGGCGACTCGGCTAATTTTCCTTCATTTCGGACGGCGTTTTATACAACTCGGCGAATTAGCGAGTTATATACAGACGCAGTATACGGTACGAGGATGAAATACATTAGCAATATCGAGATAAATTCAACGAAGTAATTAGAAAACATTAAATCACGAAAGATAACACAAACCATACTTGATAATATAGCGCGATGGAACTGCGAGTGACAAAGATTCGAACGTACCATGCGCTAACTGCTTGCAAACGGGCGGCGCCTCGCTAGTAACAAACAGTAGGCTTTCATTGTGGAGATTGCATGTACATTACCAACCGTTTTTTAATTGCTGCATACGATATTTGAAAATTTGTCAAATCTCTATCTTTATAAAAAAACCGTTCGTAAATTGTTAATAAATTTGTGAAAAAATTGTTATCCCCTCAAGATCCTTAAGCCATGGTTGTCATTCCCTCGCACTGCTGCATTCTGCCCTTAGTTTGGGGGCTTGCCTTGCTAACAACTGCCGAGACTATCACAGTAGACGATTCTGTTTCCAATGCCGTAGCTGTTGTGCCAAATCAGCACATGAAAACGCACACGCCATCAAGACCGGATGGTGATCGCGAATTGGTCGAGGAGCGAGTCTTTCCTACTTCGACTATGACCAGATTAGCTGGACATGAGCTTCAGCCGTTTGCAGATACACTTGTTCCTAAGAGATCGATTGATCGGCTGCATATGATGAAGTATGTCTCAGATGAATGGGAGCAATTTGATTCTATGACAGATGAAGATGCGATTTCTCGTATTTTATATGAAATCGACGACATTACAAATCTATTCCGTCATAATTCCTTTCTAGTTTGGCTCGGAACAAAGTCACCAAAGGATCTGAAAGCCGCGATTTCGACTCTATCAAATAGTTTGAAGAGACTTGTGCGCATCAGAACCATTCTACCAGGGATGTTTGCGAAGGAGAAAAAAGGAAACGGCATTTCTTACGTTTTGGCTACAGCTGTGGAGAGGAAATGGTTGTTGAGCATGTCGACGATTGAAATGTACCAAGTTCTAGGAATTTCTAGCATCGAGAAGAATGAAGATTTTGTTAAACAATTGGGTCCTTTATTTTGGGGTAAATTTGACCATCTCGGAAAAAAGAATTTTGTAGAGTTGATGTTGACGAAAATGCGAGAACGATCAC